CTAGTGGGGTAGTGTGGTTAGTGAGGATGGTGTGACACTAGCATGGAATAAGTATCTGGAGTGTGGTTGATATGACACTGGGAGGACTCACTGCTGCCAGTCTGGTGATATGGAGTCCGCTAGGTCCTATGAGAGTGTAGTAGAATATACGGATATATGGAGCCATTTTCACCCATTGTCCATTCCTTTTCCATGCTTCATTGTATCTTCAGGAATCTTGCAGGGCTGACAGTTCTCTCTGTGCATAGAGTACAACAGGTAGAATCGGGATACGGAAGTGTTTTGTTTATATGGGACGCTTTATCTGTTTGCTGCCTCCTCATTCAATGACTGGAGTCCAGGTTCAGTTTAACAAATCCCAACTGACTGGCTGTGTCACTAAAACAGCCTATTTATCTCGGTGATCTAAAAGGAAAAGACCATTGCTGTAAGGCACCAATCAGATTCTTTTTTGGCTACACAGTGCTAGTGTGCTTGTTATGAGAATGTGAGACCAGGTATAGCTTCAAGGAATGGTCTTTATGTGTTGAATGTAATACAATTGCCAGCCTGTGTTCACTCAAACATTAGTTTTTCCTATGAGCAGATCAGAATTTTACGTGTTTAGGAGATTTGCAGATTGTCACTCTTTTGTAGAATGGTTTTTATGCCATTACTAAAGACATTTGTAGCACAGAGGAAGGAGACAGATTTATGTACATCTCTCACAAGTGCTTTGTTTTCTGTCATATTTGTTCAGGAGGCATTAAGGATCGCCGCTGCCACTCGTAAGTATTCATTAATAAAACACACTTTTATTTTTGCCTGCGGCCCGCAACATGCGTTTCTGTTCACCTGCAGCTTCTGTGTGTGTGTGTATGTTCTCCTGAAGTCTGATCCTCGGTGCCCTGTCTCAGCTTGTGTGTGTGTGTGGACCTTTTGTGCCTCTTGTGCTGAACATATACAATCTAGTTCCTAATTCAGGTGAAAGCCTTGCACGACACCTTCCTTGTTTTATTCTAATGACCATAAACGCCTTTATGCATAACGCTCCCGTCTTGTGATTCCTGACCCACGGTGGATTCTCTCTGCCTCCAGATATGTGCAATCTGTCACTCTTATTGTGCACTCCAACAGCTGTTAGCCTTGTCTATATGACGGTACCACACAAACGCTTGCTACACAAGCTGAGGGCTATGGGCATAGATGAGGTGGTGTGTACGTGGATAGAGAACTGGCTACGGGAACGTGTCCAGAGGGTATCTGTAAATGGCACCTTTTCAGACTGGGCTAGTGTAATGAGCGGTGTGCCTCAGGGTTCTGTGCTGGGTCCCATATTGTTCAACTTATTTATTAATGACATCGGGGAGGGTGTTAACAGCGATATTTCCGTGTTTGCGGATGACACTAAAATAGGAAGGGTAATAGACACGGACTTAGACACTATAACATTACAGGAGGACCTGGATAAAATAGGGGAGTGGGCATTAATGTGGCAGATGAGGTTTAATGTCGATAAATGCAAAGTGATGCACTTTGGAATTAAAAATAAACAAATGGGTATATAATTATGGGTATGCCGCTGGGGAAGTCAGAAATGGAGAAGGATTTGGGGGTCATTGTAGACCACAAACTGAAAGGTAGTTTGCAGTGCCAGGCTGCTGTAAACAAAGCTAGCAGGGTTTTGTCCTGTATTAAAAAGGGGATGTATTGCAGGGACATGTCTATAATTTTGCCACTTTATAGATCATTGGTTCGACCTCATCTAGAGTACGCGGTCCAGTTCTGGTCACCAGTACTAAGAAAAGATGTCCTTGAGTTTGAAAAAGTCCAGCTGAGGGCAACCAAACTAATTAGGGGTATGGAGGACCAGAGCTACGAGACGAGGCTACTAAATTTAAACATGTTCACATTAGAGGTGAGGAGATTAAGGGGGGATATGATTTCCATGTACAAAATGTTTAATGGTGGTAGCAACATTAGCGATAAACTGTTTAAAATTAACTCCGTTACAAAAACTAGAGGCCATCACCTAAAATTGGTGGAAAAAAAATTCCAGCACACGGGGCAAAGGGGGTTCTTCACAGTAAGATCAGTTAGGGTCTGGAACTCACTGCCACAGGCGGTGATTTCAGCAAATAATGTGGAATTGTTCAAGAAACTTTTGGACGATTTCTTAAGGGACCGTAATATACAGGGGTACAGGTACTCCTTGAATGAGATCCTAATAGGTTGGACTTGATGGACTAATGTCTTTATTCAACCTCAAATACTATGTAACTATGTAACTATTTACTGTTCTCTGTAGCCGCTACATATTCACGCCACTGCTTGCCAATTCACACAAAAGGAGAATCAATGTAGTTGGTGTCTTTTTACATATATCCTCACATCTTGTATTTTTGTAGCTCGGGACGGGACTCCGAAGCCTGGCGTTCCTCTTGGGAGTAAATCGCCTCCAGTAAAGTCTCCTGTGGAGGCTCCAAGAGAGAGAAAGACCTCTGCATCAGACGACAAGAAGAAAGTGGTGGGTGATCAGGACGATCGGGGCCTGGAGCCCTTGTAATATGATGGGCCATCGATATCGGCAGTGTTCTGAAACCTTCTTGACATGTTCTGCAGAAACAGCTGGGATACCGAGATTCAAGCTACTACTGGGAAGTCAACTCCAGTGAAGTGGTGACACTGAAACGCATTGGAGCAGGCTCCTTTGGCACTGTATTTCGTGGCAAGTGGCACGGCGATGTGGCAGTCAAGATTCTCAAAGTGACCAATCCGACGTCAGAGCAGATCCAGGCCTTTAAAAATGAGATGCAGGTCCTCAGGTGGGTTAGCGGTGGTGGCAGGTACTAGTGCGGATCAGACAATTCCAGCACTCCAGGTAACGTTGTCTCGCCTTGGCTTAACATCATTTGTACTTTTGTTTCCCGCACAGGAAGACACGTCACGTTAACATTCTGCTTTTCATGGGCTTTATGACAAAACCCACCTTTGCAATAATCACCCAGTGGTGCGAAGGGAGTAGCCTGTACCGCCATCTGCATGTAATCGAGACTCGATTTGACATATTCCAACTCATAGACATTGCAAGGCAGACAGCACAAGGGATGGAGTAAGTGCAGTTTAATAGTTTGTCACTTAGGAAACAGAAATGTGTATTCTCCCCTTGATATGTTCCTTTTTCTGAATTGTTTCTGCTTTTCGTATGCGCAGTATGTTATTTTGTACAGCTATGTGCTGTACATAGTTCACATAGCTTAAATGCATTGCAACTGTCTAATGTCACACCACATACATTTACTATGATCTGTTGCAGCCAAATTCAGCAGGTTCTTACAGTGCTTCTTTTTAACACTGCAGCCCCTAGTATCATGATTTTTAGAATCACACACAACATGGGGTATTTTCCATGAAGACTTTTACTACTTAAAGGGCTACTCCATCCACATTTATATATATTTGGTTAGTCTCTGGCTTCTTACATGACTTGTGAGATCTTCCTGCCATTATTCCTGATTGTTCCTGTCAGCATTGGAGTTTGGGGTGTCTCCGTCTGTTCATCTTCATTTTCTCACATAATTAGTAGACATGAAGTCATCTCAAATAAGCTGATTTACACTTAGTCACAGTATTATAGACCAGGTTAGAACTGGTAACATGAGCAAATATCCTGTGTAAAAAAGTTGATCTTAGCAGATCACCAAAACGTGTGTGACAGGCTGCAGTGATGGAAATCAAGCTTTGGATCCATCATTTTGCAACCAATAGCTACAACAATTTCAAACTCAAATGCACATTTTACAGAGCATGAAAGTTTAAGGTGCTGACACACTGCACGCGAAGCAGCGTGGAGCGGTGGTGCGCGGGCCTTCGCGTGCAGTGTGCCATGCCATTTTCACTCCAGCAAAGCTCGCATAGCTAAGCATACCGAGATGAAAAATGTTATCTTCAGCCAATCGGCTCGTGCAGATAAACCCGCCCGTCATGATGCGAAGTCTAATGGGTTGTTACGCGCAAGCCGATTGGCTGAAGATGCAGTCTTTCATCTGGCCGCATTCAGCTCACACACTGCATGTGAACCTCCGTGCCTCACAGCTATGCTTTGCTCTGCACGGCTTCGCGTGCAGCGTGTCACGGGCTTTATTAATGGCCTTATTTATGCCAGCACAGTTTCTGTGTTTCCTGCGCAGTATTTCTCACTCGTTGATTTTACTTGTCGTCTTCTCTCAGTATGACCTGGTTTAATTTTCTCACTATGATTTCCTTTTCTTTTCATTCCAAGTTATCTTCACGCTAAAAATATTATTCATCGAGATCTGAAATCGAACAGTATCCTTTCACAAAATAAAATAAGTGACATGAAAATAGACATGACTTCATGACGAAGGTTTGTATACTTTGGGTGACAATTGTAAGTATTAACACTGGAGGGAGACATTGTACGTTCTGTGAAGGAATCGAGTATTTTTGTCTTGGGAATAGGCCTTCCAATTCCTTTACTTTTAAAAATAATAGATCATCCTATGTAGCATAAAAACAGATTTCAGCTTGGTGCTGCATGATTCTGCATCCAGAAGTGGATTTAGCTAGGTAGCGCTCGCTTCACCTCAATTCAAAGGTTCCCTGTAAATGGAAGAGGCAGAGTGACACTGGCAGATGACAGCGCAACTCATTCCTGGAGGGAACGGTAGCGGTTGGAACTGCTAAAAAAGGTTTATGGTCAAGCTGCAAAGCTTGAACAGAGGACTGTATGTAAAGATTCTGTTTAAAGAACAGACCGATATGTAGACATTGTTGGACGTGTAATCATAGTTGTGACAAGTTACACCCAGAGCTGCCATTTTTACCTTAACCCTCTGTGAAAGACATCTTCCTCCATGAGGGTCTCACTGTAAAGATTGGCGACTTTGGCCTGGCCACAGTAAAGACACGGTGGAGTGGATCCCAACAAGTGGAGCAGCCCAGTGGTTCCATCCTATGGATGGTAAGACCTTGAATCTCATTACCTTTCCACCTTCATGCTTTGTTCCTGATCTATGTGATTACTCATATTTTGTATCTTGTGTTTGTCTCAGGCCCCAGAGGTGATCAGGATGCAGGAGACAAGTCCATACAGTTTTCAGTCTGACGTGTATTCGTTTGGAGTTGTCCTGTACGAACTGTTGGCTGGCTTGTTACCATATGCGAACATAAATAATAGAGATCAGGTAAGGCGGGACCTGTAAATTCTAGCTTTCTTTCTGTCATTGCAACTTTGTAGTGTTGCACAGCTATTTCAATTGGCGTATCCTCAGCATTAGTTTTGGAGTCCATACCCAGACCCCGCTTGACTGGATGATTGTGGGGCTAGCCTGTTATGTGACCATTAGGCACTGGCCTCTGCATTTTGACACTGCAGGCCTGAGTGTACTGCGTTAGCCACTGAGCACTTTCCGGGCCCAGGGCTGTGCGCAGCACCTGGTGTCTCTGAATGCTAACTTTGTGAATGGGCCGCGTAGGCTGAGATTAAGATTTTTGGGAGCCGTTATTCCCTGTATGTGACATGGGGATCCTCCTGGTTAGCCTTTACTGCTCGCCTAACGTGAGGTGTTCATCTCTGGATGTCTTAACCCCTACCAGCAGGTGGTTTGTCTGTATTCAAGACTTAGCCTTTATGCCTTGATCTTTGTTGTCTTCTCCTTGCAACACAAAATGACAGATCCCAGACACACAGGGAGCAGTCCTGTTGTATTGGATCCAGTAAGCACTCGGAGCTGCCTAGCAATGACGACTTGAAATTTTGCTTGAGTCTGCCTTAGCTCCGTCAGGCAAGGCCACTTCCTCTGCTGTGTCTTAGGTGGATTTCACCACAGTTATGCAAGATTTTTTGGGGCCAAATTGCAACCTTGATTGTTGACTTTGACCGCAGAGGCTAGATATATTCCTCCCACATCTTTTTACCTTGGGTTAAATTTGGTCGGTCTCTGGACAAAACAATTCGCCTGACACAAAGGACCAGGTTGTCTCTCTCACTTGTGGTCTGGAGTCAGAAAAACCCTTCCTTGGAAGATCTACATAATAGATGCCAGCCTGACAGGCTAGGGAGGAGTCCTAGACCCCTTGTCAGTGCAGAGGCCTTGGACGCTAGAGTATTCTCATCTCCAAATCATTTTGGAACTCCAAGTAATTTGGTTGTCCCTTTTAATGCTGTAAGATTTCCTGACTGCAGGGTCATCCGCCCAGGATTTAGTCAGACAATGCCCCAGCAGTAGCGTATATCAACCATCAGGGGGGAACCAGAAGTCGTGCCTTGACAGGAGAAGTTAATAGGATTCTGTCTTGGGCAGAACTTCATCCTCCATGCCTTGTCTGTGATTTACATCCCTGACATGGACAATTGTCAGGCAGACTTCCGCAGCCAGCAGTGTCTGGATCTAGGGGAGTGGTTTTTATGCCCGGTGTTTTTCCAAGAACTGTGTCGTATGTGGGGGGTGGCGGATGTGGACCTCCTATCATCCAGGTTCAAGGAAACAACTGGGTGGGTTGGTCCTTAGTAGCAAACAGTATATAACAAAAGCGCCAACGGCTTGTATCCAAAACCGGAGAATGTCTGCAATGATCTCAAGCAAAACCGCAGATGGGCAAGCTCTCAGATAGGCTATAGGGGAGCCTCAACTCTGAAAGAAACAAAAGACAAAGAGCGCCTCCATCGCGTAAAAACGTTTTAATGAAATGGGTTTTTAAACAAGTGAAACCATACTCACAAAAGTAGAATTTTTACAGGCATGAATAGATAAAATCGTGAAAAGCTTAGCCCACCGGCTACTCTTCCTCCCTGAGGTTAACGTTTCCGAGGCCACGCCTCCTTCGTCAGAACCAATGATGATTGGTTCTGACGAAGGAGGCGTGGCCTCGGAAACGTTAACCTCAGGGTTGGTCCTTAGTTACAGAGATCCTCTAGCGGCAGCAGTGGATGCTCTGGTAGCTTTGCGGGATCTCCCAGATCATTAGGATCTTCTATCTCAAGAACAGGTTTTCCATCCTCCAGACAATTACTGTAAAGCACTGTAATAGGATAATGTATATGTACTTCCACTGTGCCAAGCTGGACTAATGTATGTACATAATCATTTCTGAAGTTGGAATTCAGCTTTAAATATTTAATCCGCAGCCACAACAGTAGAACCTTAGTAGCACTCATTTTGAAATGTAAGCAAGTACAGAAGCAAATGAAGACTAGAGTTTGACTTTTTGACTCTGTTGCCTTTTCCTGAATGCTGTAAATATTTAGACCTGTTGGTTAGTAGGAACCTTGTTAGGCCAATTCAAATTATTCTGGGAAATTACATGACCACTTTTAGATGGCAGCTGACATGAAAACACCATCCTTGCCAATGTACTTCTCAACTGCTGCAGATGAACGATAGTGGTGTCTTTAACTGTAGGTTGATGTGGCAATGCTATCTTGCGTGAAATTATTACAAAGTGAGTTGAATAATTTTCTCTCCTTTTGCAGATCATTTTCATGGTCGGTCGTGGTTACCTCAGTCCTGACCTCAGCAAAGTGCCCAATAACTGTCCCAAAGCCATGAAAAGACTTCTATCAGACTGCATGAAATTCAAGAGGGAGGAGAGGCCTCTGTTCCCTCAGGTAAGCGTTCACCCACCTGCCCTTAACACCTGGACTGCAGTGCTGACTTGCAGCACAGGAGCCTTGTGTCTGTGCAGTTCCAAAATCTTTGGAACTGCACATTGGCACATGTTGACACATGTGTCAGAAACATTGGCACATGTTGACACTGAATTCTTAAAATGTAACGGTCTTGCCTGTCAAAGATGTTGTTAGGCTAGCTTTGTGGATTCCACACCCCTTCTGCCCTACATACACAGAGGAACACAATGTCACTATTTCCAGGTTTGGGGTTACTTCCATACTCATTATAATGTTCTGATCTATTGTCCAATGAACAGTCTGAAGGTTAAGGCATGATATGAGATGCTGCAAGGTGAACATGGATATACTGTTGTCACCTGCTACCTCGCTGCTTAAGCTGGTCTCTATATGCAGCTATCCGGATTGGCCTTTACTCAGCTTGATTTTGGAGTGCCATACTCGGACCCCACTGGAGTGGACATACAAGAGTAGCCTAGAATGTGACCTTTGAGCACTGGGCTCTGCATTGTGGTGCTTATCAAACCAGAGTTTACTTGTTAAGTTAACCATGGAGCACCCCTGTGTGAATGCCTTCGCTAAGGAGTTAGAGGCAAGTGGTCTTTGAAAAGCAATGGCCACTATCCTCAGATTGGAGGAAAAACAGAATTCCTCCCACGGAGAACTTTCTGGAATAGCAGTCCCTGGTACTCCAGTAAACTTTCCAAGTGCATGATAGACTTTGTGAGAAGGTGTATTTCCTAGCCTTCAAAAGCATGGGGATGTCCAAGGCTGCTATCCCTCAAAAACTGAACGTCAACAGCCGAGCTGTTAAAGCCAGCGACCGTGAAGCAGGATGGCTAGAGAAAGAAGGTATTTAGACAATCCAGCAGTGACCACAAAGATTTTGCCAGTACTGTGGCCTCCTGGGCCAATTTGGCGCAATGAGGATAACCAGAATAGCCTTCACCTTGATGCTGCGAAGTAGGCAAGAGAGAAGCTTCAGTGGGGAAAGGGCATTGATGGTTGAATTCATCCTATGGGGTCACCAGAGCATCCACTAAAAAGCCCTGAGGATTCTTGGTCCTGGTGACAGATCTGTCCAGTTTATTGTTGAATTTTGAGGCCAGAAGGTCTACATGTGATGTCCCCCACCTGTGACAGAGTGTTCTGGAATAAAGTTTATTACCTCCTGAGCACAACTGTTTTTGCAGAGCAGAAAGGGTTAAACAGCATGTGACCAGTTACTTTGAGGCAGAGGAACATCCTTGTGCTGTAGGCAGAAGGGCAGGGAGCAGAGGCAGGGGAATCTGAAGAAAGTGGGGTTCCAACCAGATCTTCACCCTTCCCAGGGGCGGAACTACCAGCGGTCCAGGGACCAAGGCTGGGGGGGCCCCACTGACAAGGAGGAGGCCGGGCCCCAGCAGCGCCGGTCTGTTAACGGAGAAGGCAGGGGCCCAGCAGCGCTGATCTGGCGGCGGAGGAGGCCGGGGCCCAGCAAACTCTAAAAATTAGTAGAGTAGAGAAGGATTAGAGCCCCTGTCCACTTTTTATTGCCATCTGTGTCCCTTTTGGGGAAATTACTGCTTATGTCCTGTCATTACAGGAAGTGATGGGAAAACTCAAATGGTGACACTTAAAAAACCCATATTTTTAGTAGAGAGCTATACAGTTAGAATGTCTGACAGCCCATGCTTTCTGCACTCCCTCATTTCTTGTAAAGGTGTCACAGGGACAGCAAGTGAAGGAAACTCTCCCCGAAGGAGTCACAGGCCCCATCCTAGAACTAAAAACCTGACCTATTTCCCAATCTATTGAAAGCTAAAATAAAAAATCTGGACTGAAGTTCCGCTTAATGAATAATATATATCAAGTGTTGAATTTTTTATGTAGCATCATTAGGAAACGTATCCCCTTGTGTTATAGACTGATTTTGTATACACGCTCACATAGGCTAAGCTCAATAGACCTGCGTCTTTATTCAAGCTCAACCACCATGTAACTATGTATCGTAATTTGCTTTACAGATCCTTTCCTCCATTGAGCTGCTCCAGCGTGCACTCCCCAAGATAGAGCGCAGCGCATCGGAACCATCTCTGCACCGAGCGGTGAACTCTGAGGACCTCAACCCCTTCCTGATTAGCACTTTCCGCCTTCTCCCCCACTGACGGGAGAGCGCCCCATGTACACAGTTTATCATCTATCTCTGGACTGTTGTCTAGGAACCGGGAATGTTCTGTCCTTCCGCATTGGGCTCATGTGGTTTCTCTTCTTGATGCTACTTTACGCTCCATGTTGATTAATTGTTCAGCTCTATCTTTTCTATGCCTCTGCGAATTAAAACCACTCTTATGAACTTGATTAGCCCCCCGGGCCTGCTCAGGTACAGTGGACCTGAGGACTTCTTCTCCATCTCCCAATTCACCCGATACCTTGCACAAGATTTGCTGAAGCCGAATAGAGCAAAATAAATGGAGAGCTGTTTTATCTGTTCATCAGGAAGATGTGATAACCCTGAGCCTTTCTTTTACCATGTGGCTTCAAGTGCTCAGCCGATCAAATGACAACTCTGAGTCTAGTGACACTGTGGCATGTGCAAAAAGCGTGCATTGCAAATTTTGTTGGGACGTAAAACCTACAGCTTTGCATGACATTGGAAGATGCTTGTGCCCTCCAGCGATCGGAGGAAAAGAGGGCACCTCCAACCTTAAACAATAGAATTGACTTTTTTTTAGTAGCAAATTAAGAATGATTGAACCCTATGCATTTACTATTGAAATCAATTAAGTATCAAAACCGCAGAGACGGTTATCAGACCTTAGAATCAATGTTACGTCTTTAGACTGATTTTTCAAATCCTGATTATGGAAGTCATCGTCGGTCCTGAAGATTTATTGCCTATATGAAGACGTGCCTGATTTTTTATTTAAATTTCCAGCAACCTTTTTTTTTTCCCCCAATGAATTGAGGAGTTTTCATTATAACGAATTAGGGAATCTTTAGAGCAGGAACAGACACCCGTGTCCCCGTAGCTGTGAAGAATCTACAAGTCTTGGCGAGTCTATGCTAAGATTTCGAGTTCCTATGACAGTTAGAGAGTAGGGATCACCCAAAGATGTTGTATACCATCAGCCTTCCTGCTGCGCACTGTCTTCTCAGGTGAAAATCTTCTCGTCTGGGACAGTTAAATTAAAGCGATGCTCGAGAAACTGTTGGGTGAGGGAATATACAGATCTTAATTGCATTCGAATAAGGATGTGTAATATATATATAGTTTTAAATAAAATATGTTTGGTGTAAAAAAGAAAATGGTAAAAGGCCTCCTGTCTCTTTGATGAATGAAAAAGCGCTTTCTACTAATATAAAAACATGCGGCGTTCTCTGATTGTGGTGAAGATGTGCCTTCAGGACTCCGAGTGGTCAAAGTGCCCCACTAGAAGCTCTGGTGGTGCCTAAGTGCTGCAGCCATTACTAAGCTCGATACAGTGTTTGCTGTCTGCTGATGGATTCCCAATAATATACACTTTGAAACCACAGCTCTAAGAGGTTGGACACCATCCATATTGACGCATTGGGAGGAGCGGAGGCACAAACTACTATGGAGGGCATTTAACAATTCTGTCGCATAGCAAAGCAGTGCTGAACAGGAGCAGTGAGACAATATGTTGCAGTTTTCTTGCAAGGTTACAGCATGAATGTCATCCTCAGCTGCTCCGAAGTAGGACTGCGGCAGAAGAAACCCTGACCCCTTCTTAATTATGTGTTGCATCAATCTGTCACACTTGGCTGTCCATCAATACAGATGAACGGGTTTGTAAACCTGTGGCAGGATGACTGGCAGCTAATTATGTTACTAATCTGCGTGATAAATGTCCCCTTATGAATAAGTCTTGCCATGGGCAGCTTCGAGAGAAATAAAAAAAACCTGTCATGTATAAACTGAACAACCACCGCTCACAATTAAAGGATGGATCCTATCTGTAGCTGACATTTAACCACTTGCTGACTGGGGTGTTTAGACCCCCTTCCTGTCCTGGCCATTTTTCAGTATTCAGCGCTGCGGTACTTTGACTGACATTTATTCCGTCGTGCAACGCTGTACTGAAATTAAATTTTATACCATTTTTTGGGGACAGATAGAGCTTTCTTTTGGTGGTATTTAATCACCACTGCGGGTTTTCTTTTTTACTATATAACGAAAAAATACCGGAAATTTAGGAAAAAAACCTGTTTTACCCCACATTATGTTATAAAACATTTATCAGCACCCAATTTTTGGGGTAAAATATAAAAGGTGGGGTCACGTCGGGTAAATAGACACCAAACATGTCAAACCTCAAAATTGCATGCGCCCATGAAAATTCAAAAAACGACCATGCCTAACATTGGCCATAGGCGACGCTTTAAAAGCTTTTACCGCTCATCAGTTTAGTGTTATCAGTGATTGATGGCCCTAAAATTATTGCTCTCACTGCGACGTTCGCGGCGATATGTGACGTGTGTTCTAATCGTTGTTTTTGCACGTAGGCGCACCCAACCCGTATTTGTGTTTTATATGTTCATGCATTTAATATGAGTCTTTCATTTATTTATTTTCTACACTTAAAACAGGTCCTCTTTATGCTAACAAGCTCCCTATGTGATAATATACAGTGACAGGTCCTCTTTATGGAGACATCAGGGGTCTCGAAGACCCCTAATGTGACCTAGGGACCCCCAAAGAAGCTGATGAAGCAGAGATCTGCTTCACCAGATTCTTCGCTGGCTCCCAGCCAGAGAAATGACAGCTAAAGGTTGAAGTTATACACATCACTTCCACCTTTTTAGAGAGAGAGGAAAGATCAGCGGTGGGGGAATGCTGATCTCTCCTCCATTCTCTGTGTAGGCAGCTGCTGTGCCGGTCCTGGGCCCGCAGGGGGGACAGCCCACCTCGGGATAACGGGGGGAGCGCGGCAATGTAGGGGGTGCACACTACATGCAGTCATACGATCGGGCGGCTGTAGAGCCAGACGAACACTTTTATGTAACAGCCAGTACCGGCTGTTTAGTTTCCCAGTGGGATCCTGCTCGCGCGCACCCTCAGAAAAAAAATCACCCGCTGGGAGGCATCTGCCGTCCGCCCCTATTTTTTACTAAGGGTGGATGGCAACTGGTTAAAGTAAACCTGTGATCACTTTAAGGGTCTGCATCCACAGGCTTTTTGTTCACTTCAAATGGGTTTTGCATTGCCATACAAGTCTACGAGTATCCCAATTCTGCTGAAGGAGGTCGTCTGCAGGTCTAATGCACCTGTCAATGAATTCTGAATGGCCTCAGAAGCATCTCAAACTGATGCCACACTTATGCCATCAACACAAGCCCAAAGTCTGGCGATACAGGAGCTAAAACTGCCTAAAGTGTACTGATGACGATAAGCAGGGACCCCGAGGACATAACGTGCCAGAGATAAAGAAATGGGGCACAACATTCAGGGAATATGTGTTTACATGTTAGATTACCAGGGGGGGTGAGCATTAATAACCATCCCAGTCTCCATCACCATGCACCTCTCTGGAAAAGGAGAAGAGGAACACATTGCTGAACTTACCAGACAGCAATAACTATAGTAACCTGTTATCAGAGAAATGCGGGGACTGCCATTGCTGACCTCTCTAAAATGCTTTTTGCTTGGCTGATATGCTGACACACCGGGTTTTTTCTGAGTAACCTGACAAAAGAAGAGCTCAGCAGTAGTAGCTTCCATGTTCTATTACATTTAGTGTTAACTTGTTTTAGAAATTTCCAGCAGAGGGAGCCACAGTTCTCCTAAAAGTGGTTTAAAATCCTGATTCAAAATTGCTGCACAGCCCATGGCGGCCAATCATATGTCAGTCATTACTTTACTAGTGGAGGTTAATGAATGAAAATATGTAATGGCTTGTTTACCAGTCCTGAGTATGGAGGAGGAAGAGCAGAGACCTCATACGCAAGAATTGTAAGACTGTTGGTTTGTGTGCTTTTTAATGAACAGGGTGACTACTGTAGCATTGACTATCAAAGTGTGGGCAGGGATCTGTTGCTTCATGACAGGGTTGCAAATGCCAGGGGAAATTTCCTAGGGCAGGGTGTAGAAAGAAAAACGACTCTGGCTGCGTCGTTCCAAGGAGTATTGGGGTTCTCAAGAACCAGAAAAGATGTCTAGTCTCTTTAAACATTCTGAGCCAGTGTTCTGCTGCACACAGAGAGAAGGATGTTGCTCCTTCATTGTTCAATCACAGGCTGGGGTGGGTTCTGAACTAGGCTGTGTTACTGAAATGCTGGGTAATCCTTATGAAGGTCTACAACCTTTGGCAAGTAAAACGGCTTATATATATTATTTTAGCTATGTCGGTATCTGGCAGAGTTTCAGTTCTAATACAGTTGCAGATAAGTCAAGTTTTACCACTCCAATACGGAACGAGGTCAAGCAGGGAAGCTTGGGGTTCTTCTAGGTTGGACAAGAACATAAGAAGAAGAAAGGAGGATTGATGTTGATCAGAGGTGTAGAAGAATGATACAATGTGAACTATATAGGCCTGGGGTCGTTTTTTGTCCAGGGAGACTCTGATCGCTCCTACTGTTGCTAGACGAGCTTGCATCCGAAGAGTCATAGTTTTCTGCCACTACTCTCAAATTATTGATGCTGTGCACACCTCTCCAAAACCTGAAGATCAGCCTGTTGCTTCTACCAGTATCATCCCCAGTCTTAGGTCTTGTGGAGCCCCTAAAGGTGCCCATACACTGCTCGATTCTCGTTCGAGAATCGCGGGAAATCCCGCGATCGTACGAGAATTGAGCACTGTGAACGAAGACATGCGACCGTTTCTACTGTACGGTCGCGCGTCTTTTGTCTATGGAGCACGCTAGAAAACCAGCCGAGAATCGTACGATTTTCAGCTGGTTTGAACGGTGCTCGGGAGACAAATGCCGAACGGGCCGGTGTGCGCACGCGCACACTGCCCGTTTGAGCAATGCGGGGCGGGCATGCGATGATCGAGAGTACGATCTGCCTGTCCAAGATGGGCAGATCGTACGTTTTTTAAATCACTTTACAACCATCGCAAGACTAAGGTCGTTCGGCATTTGTATCCTGAGCACCGTTCAAACCAGCTGAAAATCGTACGATTCTCGGCTGGTTTTCTAGCGTGCTCCATAGACAAAAGACGTGCGACCGTACAGTAGAAACGGTCGCACATCTTCGTTCATACTGCTCGATTCTCGTACGATCGTGGGATTTCCCGCGATTCTCGTACGAGAATCGAGCAGTGTATGGGCACCTTAAGACTTTCCTGGTGCACCAGCAGTTCCAAGTCTTCAGCTATGA